TTCAGAGCTGCGATCATCACAAATGCAACCTTTATTTAGGCCCGATAAAATAACCCTTGTGTAAACAGTGTTAAGTCGGTCAGACGGCGGCATAAAGTATTTAGGCCGGCTGCTTCCTCCGCTGAGTCCTCATATGACTGATGTCTCTGGGTCGATACTCATCAGCCATAAAACATCCTGAAACAGGAAGTTAAAGCTGCCGGGAGACTTCCAGCTGCTGAGATCAGATACAACGTCTTTCACTGGAAATTTAATTTACACTTTCAATCAAACCTGAATGTCAGTGGGCCGTCGCTCTGCTGCTCTGAGTTACTGTCAGTGAGCCAGCAGGTACAAATTTAACACTTTACACGTCATTTATATGAGGGCAGACTTCAGAAAGTGTAGGACAAGTTTATGATAAGATAATCTGATAAATAATATAAAGTATATTTGAAATATTTAAAACAAAATGACTAAGATGAACATCCCAGAGGAAGAAGAGAACAATAGCAAATCTATAAACAGGTTTTATGGGACACTTTTAGAGATGATACTCAATTAGCTTCTCTTTGTTTTTCTTGTGTGTGTGTGTGTGTGTGTGTGTGTGAGTGTGTGTGTGTGTGTGTGTGTGTGTGTGTGTTATTGATCCAGTTCCTTTTATGAGCCGGCTTTATGAGGCAGAGAGGTGGTGTGTAAACCTCTGACCTCTGACCTCTGACCTCGTCCTCGCAGACAGTCGTAATGCTGCTGATTACAGAATTAAAGCCCATCCTGTTGGTGACCTCACACTGGAATAAAATGGAAAATATGAACTGCAGAAACTCGCAGGAACCACAAACTGGACGACTGGCTGCACACAGATAACAGCCACAGAGTCTGAGAGATACTGTACTGGGTCCAGTGAGCAGACTGATGAGGTAGATTTGTTTCCAGTGACACAAGAAATTGTCTTTTTTGGATTATGAGTTCAACCGAATCACAAAACGAAACCATTTTAACCCATTTATCTCAGTGGTATTTATATTAAAAGAATACTTCACCCATGAAATGACCATTTTATATCAGCGTGTTACGTTAAGTTCATGAAGAGAACTTTATTTTTCTCACATGCCCCCATGGTGAGCGGAGAACCCAATAAAGGTAAATGAGTTGCAGCAGTTTCACTAAAACATCACTTTACAACTTCTTACCCAACTCATGCAGATTGATCCAAGTCTTATTTTTACAGTTGTGTACTCAGTATTTCCTTAACATATACATTTTCTCTAAAACACTACTGTATAAAGCCTCACCACCCATGGGTAGAGCGCCCTGCTAGCCGTGCATGAGCCTGTTTGTACCGACATGTCTTATTTATTTATATATTTTAACATTTACATTGTATTTATTTAAGAAAAACTGTACCTGGGTGTCGGCCAGTCATCTTTGTCTCGCCTGCAGCTGGTGCAGAATGCTGCAGCAAGAGACAACATTAGACCAGTGCTAGCATCCCTGCACTGGCTACAGGATTGATTTTAAGGTTCTTTTTTTTGTTTTTTGAAACCATACATGGGCTGGCACTCCAATATATTGCACACCTTGCCCCCACTCCAACTCCGGACCTCTTAGATTTGCAGAACAATGTCTTTTAACTGTCCCAAAATCGAGACTGGTGGGTAAGGGAGATCGTGCCAGTGCGTCAGTTGCTCCAAAGTTCTGGAATAGCCTTCCACTCTCAGTCAAATGCCCCCCTCCGACACTTATAAGACAAATCTTAAAACGTACATGTTTTCAATGGCCTTTGGTTGTTCGTATTGGTTTAAATATTTTAGTATCTTATAATCTTTTTCCGTATGTAATTGTTCTTACCAGTGTTATTCTGTTTTATATTTGTGTACATTTTATATTCAGTCCCTCCAGGATCTCGGCAAAAAAAAACCCCTTGAATTTGTGGCCAATTTTGACAAAAATTGCGATAAAAAATGCAGCATTTTTATGTGATTTTTTTGCAGAAAATTGCAGCAAATTACAAAAATTGTGGCTAATGACAAAAGGAGAAAAAAAAAGATTTTTTTTAAACTACTACCTCCAAAGAAATTAGTCATGTAGTCGCTATAATAATCATAATGAATATGACAAAAATAGCTGCAAAGGTGTTTTATAGTTCTCTTATTTAGTTTTATATAATTAGTTTGAAAAAACATGGACTCCAGTAATGTTGCAAAAAATCCTGAGTAAATATTGTAGCTCTCAAACCAGACAATGTGACTGTAAAACAACATGTAAGCTACATCTTCTACATTCAACACATATTGTATGCATTTAAACAGTGCAAATTCTTATGTCAATACACAGCGTTTCTCCATACTGCAATGCTATTAGCGCATTTGATGTGCGAGACGACTTTCGGTCGGCAGGAAAATGCGGAAAAATCGTGGGACTTTTGAAAAATTGCAAGCCCCCGCAAATATTGCGGACTTTCATTGAATTAGCGTTGATTATTGCGATTGCAAGTGTACAGCACTTTGGTCAGTAGAAAGAAATTTATCCCCGAAGGGAAATTCAGCTGTCCAGCAGCTCCTAAACAACAAAAAACAACCACACCTCCCCTCATCAACAACAACACAGTGGTATTAAAATAGACATGAAATTAAATAAGTTAAAATAAGTGCACAAATAGAAATTAAATTAAGATAAAATTGTCCATTCCACAGTCCAGCCAGTTGTGGCTAATGTGATGTGTGTAAGTGTGTGTGTGACTGGATTCAGGAGGTGTGGACGTGGGGATGAAGGACCTCCTGAAATGCTCAACAGCTGGGTTGCAGTCACATGATTCTGAAACTGCGCGAAATTCAGATGGAGGGCAGGAAGTAAACAACAGCAATGGCGGAGATGGAGGAAAATCCGTATTGCGCTAGTTTAGATGCGATTACAAGAGGAAGATATTTGCAAAAAGTCAGTAAATATGTGGGACGTGATCCATATTTTCTTAAGAAGACCAATTTTTCAACCGATTTGAAGGATTTGCCTGCTATTGAGGCAGTAGACATAACTAATTACCTCGTTCTCCAGACCTCTTTCTACACCAAACAGCAGATGAAAGCATACAAAAGTATGGAGGCATACAATTATTTTGTCAGCGGTTGGGTGCACGACTTGGGCTCAAAGATACTCCACAATGACCTTTGTTTGGTTTTCGCCAGGGTGAGTGTTTTATTTATGGCAATTTCATGGTTAGCATCTGTTAGCATCAGTGGTTAGCAACAGCCATTAAGCGCAGTGTGTCACAACGTTACAACGGGTCTATCTGTCTGGTAACCGAGGTTAACTGTACCGACTCGACCTCATTTAAATTAGTTGGGCAGCTGAAACAGATGAACAAATGACCCTGATTAGATTAGACATAACGTTACTGTATACACCTAATAAATCTCAGTTATCCAGTTTAACAGATACGTAACTTCAACAAAGCAAAGAAAAAACTAACGTCAGTGTTACAGAGGAAAGACAAAGTTAACTATAAGCTAATATAATACATAAACAAGTTACCTTTGACAAAGTGGTCACTGCAAACATAGGCATTATCTGACTCTGCTCCTCCAGAGAGCGTAGGCGAAGATTAGATATCCATTTTTTCCAGCGTTTTTCAGTGAGCTTTTTACATTTTTTTCCCTTTGTGGACGACAATCTTGGGCACACGATAAAAGCTCTTACTTTTTCTTGGTTGGATCGATTTGAGCAACCATATACAGCTGCTGTTGTCCATTATAGCTTTCAGTTTTTCATTGTGCCCCTCTCCACCACAGTTCTTGGTGGAGTGTTCTCAGTGTTCGCAGGAAGAACAGGCAGCTCTGCCCTTCCTGTAGAGGGCGTCAGTGTTAGAGGACCAGTCCGGCTTAACATCCAGGTGTGCACCACCTCAATGTCCTCCCCTTGTATGGAGACTGGTTGATGGGATGACCTCTTACTTCTGAAATCCGAGTTGGACTTAAAGTCCGCTGTGTAGAGTGTGAACAAGAGCGGTGCTAAAACAGTTCCCTGTGGAGCAACTCATACAGTTCCCTGTGGAGCAACTCATACAGCACATTTAAAAACAACTGCAGTTGTTTTTAAATGTGCTGTATGAGTGACTCAAAAGGGTCTTTGCATTATACTGCACATGTTTTGTGAGTTTGTAAAGTGATGTTTTTGGTGCAGTTTTGCTGCTGTTAAACATGGTCTCTCTTTATTTCAATTCAGGAGAAGTGTTCACCATGATGGCATGTGAGAAAAACTTAATTTTCTTCATGATGTCAGTGTAACACAGGGCAGCTAACTGATGAAGTGTTCCTTTAAAGTGCAAGGTAGAGGTATTACAGTGGTGTTAGTATCAGAATCAATACCTTGCTTTATTAGGTGGTCAAATCCCAAGTCCTCACTTCTGTGACCTACTTGCGTTTAGTTCTTGCCTTGTAGTTTGGTTTTACTTTTCCAGTTTCCATTATATCTCCCTTGAGATTTCTGCGTCTACCACAATACAACACAGTAAAGGAAATGTTTTTATAGTGCCTCCAGCTCAGAAAATAATCCACAAAGTGTCACTGCATGCTCAGGACAATCCAAACACCTTCCTGCCTGTGAACAAAAGTTTAGTTTTTAGAAAGCGAGCTCAACCGTTCTGTAGAGACTGTGAAACCTCCTCCTCTCTAACTTTACAGGATTTGGCAACACAACACAGATTCATATCATCATGTACAGTCCAGGGGATTCATCCCGCCCTTATAGATACAGCCTTTTATCTCATGTCTTTCTTTTCACTGATACCTCCTCCAGCTTTCTCCGATCCTGAGCTCAGCAGCTGTTCACAGTCTGCTGCCAGCGAGCTGACAACATCCGGCTCAGACCTGTGGAGCTGGAGGACTTTCATATTAAATGCTTTATAGAAAGTAAACAGCATTTGTTGATCACTGGAGATGGAATTCATCTAGAGGACATAAAAGCATGCCGAACTCTGTGGCTGCAGGTTTGGATCGTTCATATATCCCTCTGTCTCTGTGCAGGTATCACAGTGCTGCTCTCTCTGACAGTCTTCATGCTGCTGGTGGCTGAGATCATGCCGGCGACGTCTGACTCGGTTCCTCTCATAGGTGAGCTCCTCACTTGCAGAGCTTTATCACTACATCTTTTCTCTACATCCTTTAAGTCATGCCTCCAGTCTTTGGAGGCATTTACAGTGAAAGTCTACCATACATGGTGCCACCTGCTACTCAGTAACCAATTACACACTCTCACACACCGATGGAACAGCCATCAGGAGCAATTTGGGGCTCAATATCTTGCCCAAGGATACTTCAACATGCGGACTGGAGAAGCCAGGGATTAAGCCCCTGATCTTCCAATTAGTCGACAACCCACTCTGCCTCTGAGCCACAGCCACCCCAGATCAAGAGCACTCAGTCCAGGCTAGAGTTCCTGATGTAAAACCCTCCTTACTGACTTTTAGCAGCTAACTGTTAGCTCTGCTGGTCAGATGCAGGAGCCAGGCGTCCTGTCCTTACAGCTCTAGTTCTAGAAACACTTCTCCTCCACTTTTCTCTGAGGCTAGTCCCCGACTCGAGTCCCCAAACTCACACAGCAATAGTCAGAGCTGATATCAGTCTGCTGTCCCACTCCTTTAATAAGTAGACACCAATCTGTTGCAGTAATAGGATGGATGTATTTGGATGTATTCCTCACTTTCTTAAAAATATATATAAAAAAGAGTAAACATAAACTGACCTTTGACCTCTATGTTTCAGCTCAGTACTTTGCAACCACCATGGTGATCGTGGGTCTGTCGGTCATCGCTACAGTCCTGGTTCTTCAGTATCATCACCACGACCCAGACGGAGGACACATGCCACAATGGGTGAGTCATCCCTCCTCTTCATCCTCTTCTTCCTCCTCCTGTTCTCTTCACTACTGTGAGCTCCTTTCTCTGTGAGGTGTCCAACATGGTGTCTACAATCTGCTGAGTTGACTTTAAGCAGTGATGGAGGAAGTATTCAGATCCTGTACTGCAGTAAAAATACTAATACCACACAGTAAAAATATTCCGTCACAGTTGAAAGTGTTCCCGCAGTTAACCCTTTGAACCCAGGAGCGACATCACTTTTCTTGTGCTGCTTTCAGACGCCTTTCGCAAGTATTTAAGGTGTGTAAGTATAATCAGTAGTCATGTAGTTAAATGAGTATCATTCCACCTCTGACTTTGAGGAGCTCTGAACGAGCAGCGTCGACAGCTGATTGGATGATAATGTGCTCATCCTGTTTCTTTATTTTACAGCAAACAGGAGTTTGAAGAAAAGTGCTTTACATCAAAGACACACACACACACACGCACACACACATACACGCTTTTTTTCCCTGTGGGGATTTGAACAAGAGAAAATCCATTACGGTGGAATTTATTTTGAAGGTCAGAGCTTTTACTTCAGCTGTGAGAGTGTGTGTGTGTGTGTGTGTGTGTGTGTGTGTGTGTGTGTGGTGTCAGGGTTAGGTGAGGTGGTGACTTGTGCTCTGAATGGGGATGTTCCCGCAGAGGAAGAGGAGGGAGGAGTGTTGAGCCGTGAAGGTGAAGCTGTGAGGCTGAAAGGACAACTCTGTGTCGTTTAGCTTCCCAGCAGCTCCAGTGTGTCCTCAGCAGCAGCTCCATCAGTCAGTGGAGCCTGAGGACAGGACTGGTTTCAGTGATCTGAACACACGTTTGTCCCTCACAATCAGCTGACCAAATATCTGTGATTTGTTCCCAGTCTGAGTCTGTAGGTCTGTGTCCCGCTGCACTGCAGTCCCTGTCATCTGTCACCTCACAGCTCAGATTCGTTCTGACAGTTCAGATATCAAACTGCTGAACTATCAGTCACAAGGTTGCGCCTCTAACTTTTAAGCCACCACACCTCAAGTTTGTGATCTGAATAATGTTTGCCACAGTTGAAGGAAGTGATGCAGACTTACTGTCAGGTGTTTGATAATCTACCTCCACTGTAACTCTTCTTTTTCCATTTTGTGCCTGTAACAACAAAGATATCTAATTACAGGTAAATAACTTTAAAGGGTAGAAATCTAGTGTAGAGTGTAATTGGTGGAAGCATTTAAACAACCTGACTAAGTCTGACTTTAAGGGCTAATCCACATTGGGTCTTTGTGATGTAGCAGAGTGTGTTCTCTTCTTTTTTTCCTGTCCATTGTATAATCACTGGGCTGTATGCAATGACTCCCCAGAGCCCTAATTACAGGGCTGTGTCAATGAGAGGTAGATCTAGGCAGGAGCCCAGTACAGGAACGGAAAGAAAGGGAAAATGTGGGAAAAGTACAGAAAGGATTTAAAGGTGAAGCAAAGACAAAGAAACCTAAGCTTAGTGAAGTATAACGGAAAGGAAGGGAAAGAGATCATTTTGTGATGGGATCACTCCAGCTGCAACACAATGATCCGCAACTTAAAATTTGTATGTGGGCCAGGGGCGTAAATTACCCCTTCCCTACTTCCTACCCCCTTACTCCCTACAGACAGACAGACAGACAAACAGACAGACAGACAGAGTAAGAAGTACTGAAGAGAGCTGCTACAAAGTCCCTTCTTTATACCACCTTTGCAGTTTTACACAGAACTTAACAACTGCAACATCATGCCGCTCTTGTGTATACTTTTAGACAGCATACTGCGTCTCAGAATCAGAAGAAGTAAGACATGTAATACAACCGTGTCAGCCTTTAGTATGACATTTAACATAAACGGCAGCAGGGCTTTATAAACAATATCGATGACACACAAATCATTTACCGTCTCTTTTATATGACCGCTGATCTCACGCTCTGCTTGGAAGGTAAGGAGCTCCTGGACCTCCTTGTTTTCTCAGTTTTTCAGCTGCTGTTCTCCTTTGAGTTAGCTGCTAACTGCCATCATGTATTTCATTCATTAATTTTCTATAATTGCTTATACTGTTAGGGGGCACAAGGGGGCTGGAGCCTGTCCTATCTGACATTGGGCGAGAGTCAGACTATCGTCAGACTATCACAGGACTGACACATAGAGACAGACAACCATTCACACTCACATTCACGCCTACAGACAATTTAGAGTCACCAATTAACCTGCATGTCTTTGGACTGTGGGAGGAAACTGGAGCACCTGGAGGAAACCCACGCTGACACGGGGAGAACATGCAGACTCTCCCTTATATTCATAATAAATGTAGGTATTAATTGATGAAAGGGCTCCCTCATTTCAAGGTTCAAACCAGGGGAGTGTATCTATGTTTCCCGGGTTCTATGTTCCCCACTAAACCGAACAAAACTGACTTTCTGTAATGCATTTCAATGAACGTCCAGGCAGAGAATGTCCGAGTGTATGGGAATGGCTATACGCACTGTGATCGGCTCATCGCATTTGAGGGCGGGACTTAGCCATAGGTCAATTTTCCCCCCACATTCCAGGATCGTACCTGGAACAGCGAGGCAGCATCACAGCACGATAATCCTGCCCTGAACAGGCAGTGTGAAAGGGCCCATAGACTCACACATGTTTCCCTTTTCCACCAAATCAGCTCTGGTTCTTGAACAGTTTTGTTCAGGACTCTTGGATCCTTGGTGCTATCTCGTGAACCAGCCTGTGTTTCTACCAGTTTTGAATGGAACCATTGTGATCAAGGATGTGTCATCAGCGGAGGGCGTTGAACAATGCAATACAGAAGTAAGAAGAAGAAGCAAGATGGTGGATTGCTTAGACTACCTGTGAGCTTTTGTTCTGATCTTACAGATATTTGATCTTTATTCAAAAAACAAGCACAGACCAACGTTTAATGAGGTCACAGCATGCTCTTTTTTTCAGGTGATTTCTCACTTAACGTCTCGATTTTTGTCTTTCTCCATCCTCTCTCTGCAACCTGTAGAATATGACATGCCCACCGGTGTCGTCAGTGTTCACACCTCAGGTCAGGAAAGCCTGCTATTTTTTGGTTCCAGCTGGGAACCAATTTTTCAGGTTCCAAACCAATTTATTTTTGGTCCAAACGTTCTAAATGGTTCACAAATTAGGCATGAAAACTGGAACAGAATCGATTCCATGTTGGTGGAAAAGAATATCAGCCTCTCACCTGAGGCGCTTGCAGCAGGTGAAGAAGTGAACAGGAAGGATAGAGAAGTGAAGGGAAGGAAAAGGAACCTGAGCTAAGTGCATGATGAAGCAAAGAAAGGGCAGTTTTAATGTGTTGCTGAAGTTGTCGTCAGAGGTGACCAGAGTGAAGCGGCGAGGTGTCGTTGCTCTGACTGATGTCTGACAGCTAAATATTTAACAAGTCAAGTGTGAAGTGAAATATTGGACTGAAGGAGAAGATTTCCTCTGAGAGCTGAACAGCCACAGATCCACTTTATTCATGCTCTATTTTTATCTGCCTACTCCTGCTGCACACACACACACACACATACACACATCACACATGGACTCACTTCTCTCTCATGTATACGTGCACAATTTTTCCGCATAAACACGTTTCTGCATAAATGAATTTTAATCAACTTGTTTTTATGTAAATATTTTTGACTCACACTTTGTAAAGTCAACTTTCACATAAATACACTCTTCGTCTTCCTCCTCCTCCTCCTTGTCTTTTTTTTTTTCTTGTTCATTAACCAGGTCCAACAATTATCACTGTTAATGGAATATTTTTCCAATTTTTTCTTCTTCAAACTATCTGGTGAAAAAAAAGTGCCTGATGACGTGGTGTAAATTTAAATGTAAATTACTCAGTGTAAATTCTCTTAATGAATTCCTGAATAAATATTATGCATAATCATGTACACAGTCATTTAATCACTTTCTATTATCACATCAGAACAATTACAGAGAAATATTTTCATCATTAGTGTACATGTGATTTATTTTAACATAACTGTAAACATGGAAATATAATTTAAACAACTTTTAACCAGCCTTGTTATACTTCCTTTTCCCCTTCCTCTTAATCATTCTTCTTCCTTCTTCTTCTTTGTCTTTCTCTTTGTTGTCCTCTTCTTTGATTTCTTTTTCTCTTCCTCTGATAACCATGAATATATCTTTCCTTCCCTGTCTGTTGGGGGTCGGCAGGATGAGGAGGACACCCTGCTGTCCTTTAGGACCCCAGAGTTTGGGCACTTTGAGTCAATGGGGAAAAAGGCCATCTATCACGTCACTGTAAAGGTGTCAAACTTACGCTCGCTGGCAGGGGTGAAAGTGTTGAGCTGGACTGAGTTCTTGGCGTTGGATTGTGCCCAAGGGGTTGTTGGTGGTCTCTGTAAGCCCCCGTTGACAAACGGACAGGTCCATAGCTACTAACAGATATCTGCTGCACCTAGATCCCATTACAGGGGACAGTTGTCCTTTCTGCTCAGAGATAGAAACACTTCGACACAATTCGAGCTCCAGGCTCAGCAGGGTGTTCAGACAGCTACAGGACTGGTTTCAGGGTTTAGGGCAACATTTCTCATTTCCACTTTTCATTTAAGGTCCACAGTATGCAGCAAAGAGAAGATCTACACACACGTTGATTAATTACCTTTCAGGGTTGGCCAAGCTAGCTATCTGGAAAACCAAGAGTGTGTGAGGGGTCAGGGGTCACAGGATGTAGTCAGGATGTTGAAGGGGATGCTGGCAGCTCAGCTCAGGGTGGAGTTTGGTTTTTACAGCCTGACCGGATGGATGCTTTTAGCAATATTTGGGGGGTGCAGGAGGTGTTTTGTTCTGTGCAGGAGAACTCCTTGGTTTTCAATTTCTGATACAGTCCTGAAGTGTCTTCTTCTTCTTCTTCTTCTTCTTCTCCTTCAGACCCGTGTGATCCTGTTGAACTGGTGCGCCTGGTTCCTGCGGATGCGGCGTCCCGGCGAGGCAAAGGTCCGCTTGGCGTGCCACAACGCTTCCAAGCGTCGGCGCGGCAGCTTGTCCAGCCTGGAGCTCAGCGTCAGCCAGGGCTCTCTGCGACATCACCCACAGGTAACCAATGGCAACCTCCTGTATGTCGGCTTCCGGGGCATGGAGGGGTTACACTACGCCTCGCCATCTGAACCCGAGCTCCTGTGTTCACGTTTGGTGGGGAGCAGCGTTGGCGGGGAGGATCCCGGAGGAAGAGGAGTAGCAGCAGCGGGGTCTACCCTGGAGGCGGAGCTGAACCAGATCCTGGAGGAGGTGAGGTACATCGCCAGGCGTTTCCGCGGCCAGGATGAGGAGGAGACGGTGTGCAGCGAGTGGAAGTTCGCTGCAGCGGTGATCGACCGGCTGTGTCTGGTGGCGTTCTCACTCTTCACCATCCTCTGCACCATTGGCATCCTCATGTCAGCTCCGAACTTTGTGGAGGCCATTTCTAAAGATTTCTTCAGCTGAGGGGGACGAGGAGGAGGAGAGGAGGTGACAGCTGATAGCATCTTTATTTTTATCCCATGTACAGATCCACACCAACACCGTGTTCATCCGTCTATCAAAACTGTCTCACTTCCTGTTGGCTCTAACCCCACTGGTTCCTACTGAAGACACCTCACGAACATAAAGTCAGTGTGTTGCTCTCTTGAGAGCTGTTTACCTTTGTCAAACACAACCACCAGCCTGCCAACACATTCTCACTCCGACCTCACCACATATAGACATTTGGTCATGGACTTTCCACGTCCAGATACGACGTGAAAGGGACACCATGTCAAGTTCTGCCTGTTACATGCATTGTCTTCTTTCAAAATACACTTCTGTTTTCATAGGCAGTTTACTGTTTACATACAGTCTCTTTAAAAATAAATGAACTAAGTCGGTACAACAATGCGAATTGATGTTTTTTCCTCCAACAACTAATGTACATGGTTGGGTTTCAGAAAAAGAACAGGGTTTGGCTTAAAATCTTACAGGACACTAACACCGCTATCCTGTGAATGTCTGTTTGTTGGACCCATCCGCCACCACTCCCGTCCACCGGGCTCGGACTTTCATTGCCCTACCTTTCATCCTTGTCCCCCCTGCGTTTCCCCCTGATGACGCCGAGCACACTTAATCTATTACGGCAACCGGCCGCATATCATGCCGACGTTAAAGGCTAGCTTTTTTTGTCAGTGTCTCCAAGCGCCGCATTTCGATGACTTCAGAGTGAGACTGGGTTGAGCCTGCAGGTTCCAGACCTCTGAATCGTTGCCCACATCTCTAAGCTCACTGTAAAGCTGAAAACACATCGCCACCACAGCGCCATGGTGCATCATATGAGGCCTGTCAAATGTTTCCATTAGCACCGATAGCACACACAGTTATTACAACTGTTACCAAAACATCTGAACTTCTTCCACCTCTGCATTAGCTTAAAATCATGTGTGGACACTCCCTGATTAAATTTAATTTCTCACCTGAAGAGCCGATCTCCAGAACTTTGGCTGGCCAGGAAATATCTGTTTTGTCATTTTCTTTACAATGACAGGATTGTGGGTCGTAACCATTGGGCCTCAACCACAAGCCTCTCCTCATTCATTCTTTGATACACAAGAAACAGTAACAGCAAGAGGTGAGGAGAGGAGATGAGAGCTGCCACAGGAGCAGAGAAGAAGAGCTGCTACAGAAGTCAGGATGTACAAACAGGGAGCGAGAAAGTTTTTTTTTTTAGTGGTGCTAACGTACTTATTAATACTAAAGGGGTCAAAATGAAGCTGTTTAATCAACAGGGCCACCTGGAGGGAGATTGGATGGTGGCCACCATGTTTTTAAAGCAATGTCATCCCACCACAGGGATGGCAGTACCAGCAATAATAGTGAATGAATGGCACCGCGAGCTAGCAGTTCACCTGACCTGGCAAGTGCGCAGTGCAGAGTGGGAAAGGCCAACGTTAGCTAACCAGTGGAGACCAGAGGTTGAGCAGTGGGCACTTTGTTTTCACATGTCAACGCAGCTAGCTGGCTGACTGTCAGCAAAGCCAACAGAAAATTAAATGAAAGGCAAAATATTTACAACACAACAAATTAAAATACCACCACCTCTAAATGGATAGCGCTTTGAAATGTGCTGCTAAATCTCACTGAGGAGCACTGGACTAAAAGAAGAGGCCATTTCTTTGTTTGTTTGTTGCTTTTCTTGAAAGCTAACTAGTTAAAATTAACCGAAACTGACATCCCAAGTGTAGCTGTAGCTTTTTGTAAGATTTGGAGCCATCTACATACATTTTTGATGGACTATCCCTTTAAAGGAGAATCAAAGAGCTTTCAGCAGCATCTCATGGTCTTCATTCAGTGACTGGAACTGGTCCAGGTGTCAGGTGAGATGTGACAGCAGGTGGTTGTATATTTAAGCTGCTGCCTGCTGGTCTGGTTTCCTTCTTCAGCATGAATAACATCTTTGTAAAATGACTGAAAACAGACTGAAGAAGAAAAAGGTCCGTTGACACCAGCGACACCAGGTCAGTAAATAATTGTATATAATGTATAGAATAATGAGCTTTGTGAAGAATCATGAAAATGTTTTGATTTCTTGGCAGCTGTATCAGGAGCTCATCTCAAACTGATGTGAGTTATTGTTATTTTTGTCTCTTGGGAACAGAGACAGTTAATATATATATATTCAAGAGAAGTTTGGATGTTTGAAGAAAAGAGGTTCTGTAGCAAATAAAGACATTGTATCATATTTTAACCAAAGACGATCAAATATCACTAAACAAAATGTGAAGAACTGAAGTATGAAGACAGAAGCTGCCAAAATAAAATAAATGACTCAATTAATGAATTTTTATGCCATTAAATTTACCACAAATAATATTACAAATAAATGTAGATATTAATTGATAAAATGTGGCATCAATTTATATTTCTGTTTTCTGCTTCTATATTTATTTACCTTTGTATTAATTCCTGTATTTCTTTACTTTCACCTCATATTAATTTGAAAATGTATTTTATTTTTTTTTACTGAAGACCTTATTTTATGTGTAAATTAAAGAGGCCCTAAAGATGTGACCACAGAACCCACAGCTCAGGTGTCAGTGCAGTTCCCTCAAGAAAATGTTGGTATTGTACATTTCTGCAAACCCCGGATACATTACTTTTGTATGTTTCATACGTATCATATCAACGTTTCTAAAATGACATAGTTTATAAGCTGACTTGGTGGATGGTGTGACACCTAGGAGAGATGCCCGCCAAGCTGCAGACCACTGTTCAAGACCAACAAACAAAAAAACAAACACTGTTGATTTACAGTAATAATAAATAATAATAACTAATACTTATATAGCACCTTTCAAGAGACCCAAGGAAACTTTACAACAACAAAAATAACAATCTAGCAACCAAAAGCCAGGGTGAGCAGGTGTATGTTCAGTGCAGATTTAAAAATGTCCAGTGTTGGCGCCTGGCGAATCTCCATGGAGAGAGAGTTTCAGAGGGTTGGGGCTGCCACACTGAAAGCTCTATCCCCGAATGTGATCCAGGAGACCCAAGTCAGCGGACCACATGTTCCACGTGGGGTTGTAATCAGTGAGGAGGTCCAATAGGTATCATGGGGCAAGGTCATGGCGAGCTTTATAGGCGGGGAGGAGGAGTTTGTAGGTGATGCGGAACTTGACTGGAAGCCAGTGTAAGTGTTTGAGGGTGGGGGTGATGTGCTGCCAAGGCTTGGTCTGGGTGAGAACCCTTGCAGCTGAGTTCTGGATGGGTGGATGGTGTAGAGCTGATATAGTTGGGTATCGTCAGCGTAACAATGACAATTCAGACCATGTTTACGAAAGTCTGACCCAGGGGGAACATGTAAATGGTGAAGAGGAGGGGACCAAGCACAGAACCCTGAGGCACACCATGGTTTACAGGGGCTGGGTGGGAACTGGAGCCATTGATGGAGACAAACTGTTGCCGGTTGGATATGTATGAGTGGAACCAGGAGAGAGCTGTGCCGGTGAGACCGAGGTGAGTGGAAAGGCGGTTGAGGAGGATGGAGTGGGAGATAGTGTACGATGACTCATCGCTGTTTTTCCAACGGATTTTTAACCATCATACGTGGGTGTTTTTTAGTGACCTGTTCCAGCAGGGGTAGAGGCACGAAAAAGCAGCTGTTTTTTACTGAGATATTGCTGCTGTTCGATCGGAAATTGTGCCACCAAAACCAGGTATTTTAAGCCAAAACATGATCTTTTCCTTACCATAACAAAAAAAAATTTCGTGCCTAAACCTAACCACACATTAACCACAGTATTAATGACACCTAAAGGAACATAAAGTTTCAATGTATCCACTTCATAGTAATGTGCAAATGTAACATATCTGTTGTTTGCAGAAACGTACATTGCCAACAATGCGAGTCGGTTGCAGCTGTACAATGAGTCAGACTAGTTGTGGTCCATTAAAGACAAGTTTCAAATCATCAAGGATGCACACACAGCACAGGGGTAGAAAACTCATTTCCCTTCAGTATATAGAACTAAAGCAGCATGTATGAAAAAATCCTGCTGATTCCTCAAAATATACCAGACACTCAAGACATTAGTGGAAAAACTCATATTAGAGATGACTGCAGAGTAAACAGGCAAACTGAATCTCTGTCAGTGCAGGATTTAGTAAGTCTTATTGATCAGCCATCAATGATCATGCACTTTTCTACAGGCGTGAAACAAGCAAGCATGTTGCATTTTCTGTTCAAAGCAATCACTTCCACACATTATTTCCATTTTTCATGCAGCTGAAGGCACAGAAACAACTCCTCCATCTCCTCAGAATCATTATGATTTTTATCCCTTGTGTGCGTGTGCACCGAACACACGTTAATGACCGTGTACATGTTGTTCATCATGTTCAGACACTGTCTAAATTGCTGGCTTGCAAACATTAAAGCAGCAGAATTAATCAGCAATAAAAGAGAGGAGTCAACTATCTACACATCAGCAGTGTGAAGTAACGGTGTGATTTTCTACGCCAACACTTTGATCTGGCTGTGAAAATATTCTGTCAACAATATGCAAATGTGCTTTTGTATCAGCTACTGTTGATGAGATATCACGGAGGTTTTCATCTTCCAACCAGTTATATTACAGTTCTGTACAGATCTTTTTCCAGTTTACATAAAATGCCCTCAGTGGGACCTATAGTGATACAAACAAGAGAATATGACAGATTCTGTTTGAATAATAATGTAAATAGATTATGAAATCCTCTATCACAAATGTGTATGTTTATTCTGTCTGACAGTGTGAGCTCTGTGCATAAATGGATTATTGAATGGGCCTCTGGGCACAAGTCCCTGGATCACAGCCTCTGTTTGAAGGGAATTTTAACTTGTCTTGTTGAAACGTCAGTCAAACAACCAGAAAAGAGGCAAAATGACTACAAAAAGAGCAGAGAGAGAGAGAGGCAAAAAGAGACAGAGACTCAAAACCACTACATAGGGACACAAACAACTTCAACAAGACAAAAGAAAACTACAAAGGGACACAAAACAACTACAAAGAGATTCAAAACAATGCCAAAGAGACCCTAAACAGCAACAAAGAGACTCAAAGCAACCAACTAGAGACACGAACAACAACAAAGAGACCCAAAACAACTACAAAGAGATTCAAAATAATCACACAAAAAAAACAACTACAAAGAGACTCCAAATAGCTAAAACGAGACTCAAAACAACTACAAAGAAACACAAAATGGCTACAAAGAGACTCAAA